TTTGAAGCTTCTAGCTCAATTTTGAAGGAAGTTACATACATTTTTGTAAATTCAAAACAAATCTTACACGTTTTCTAATGATCTAATTATGTTGTATATTCGTATGTTTCGTTTTTTGGGTACCCAGTTTTTTCGACCGGGTACCAAGTTTGAACCCAGCATGGAGGATTTACTACCCGGTACCCGGTTTTTCTACAAACCCTATCTAGAAAAGTATCCTCATTCCCTAAAATTTGATGTAGATTAATCGAACCCCTATATCATGGGCTTTCAATTGAAAGCCCATGCCTACAGTATATGAATAGGTACATTTAAATATATAACATTATGGGGGTAAGCGTTTCATAGTTGGTCACGACGCCAGAAGTGCAAAGTATTGTTCCGAATTTTTGAATTTCGTGTCAGATTACGGTACTCACACCTGAAGCATGGTTTTTGTTTTTGATAAATTACAATAAAGTTGAATAATATTCCTATGCGTATTTTGTAAAATTGTGTCGACGTTTATTTAAGTTACAATGTAACGGTGCATTATATTTGATTAATCAGTATCTGAAAGTTTGATTTAAGTACTTTTACACGCTTTTACATTAGTCCCAATCACGCAAATCCCTTGAATGTCCCGAGACATCCTGCAAATTTAGGTGGATGTCCCGCGAAATCCGCAAATTTAGGGCACTTTGTCTAAAAAATCTGTCCCTCTATGAAGTTTTTGGTGGTAAACCTGTTAACTGTCCCGCAATTAGGGTGTTTGTCCCTCGAATGGTCCCGCGAAATCCCGCGAATTTGATAAAAAATTTGGCCTATTAGCGCAATCACGCAAATCCCTTAAATGTCCCGCGAAATCCCGCGAATTTAGTAGATGTCCCGCAAAATCCCGCGAATTTTGGGCACTGGGTCTAAAAAATCTGTCCCGCGAGAAAATCTTTGGGGGTTGACAGTACTGTATAAGAGAATGGGGTGTGTCTCTAGAGGTCATGCTTCAGTGCAAGCATGCATATCAGTTCATGAAATGATAATATGAAATAAGAAAATATACTTGAATATATAAAACACAGTTGTCACAATCATTCTAAGGATTTTCAAAATGGCTGACATCATTTTATTTCATGCTGAAAATTGCATAAAAGTTTTATTTTTGCACAACGCCTGGTCCTTATCTAGATTTTATATATCTCAAGATGTACCTTAGAAGTACACTATTCCCTTACTACATATAACTTTCTAGGTAAGAACCAGGCGTTATAATGAACAAAGCAAAACCTTTCTCTTTCTAAAAACAAGTAGGTCAACACAATTGGAAACATGAAATATGACTATTTGTATGTACAAAATATTAATCCAATGAGTGTATTGAGTGACACAATCAAACAATGGGACATCTGCCAAGTTGGGTTTATACATTCTGGAGACATTTTTTGAGACTGATAAAATTTTCACAGGAAGTGATACATGCCTCCCAAATTAACCATAATATACTTATATCAGTAATCTTGAATGTTTTTTATTGCTATTTCTTGAAAATATACATATTTATCAACAATTTGATCCTACATGTCAAGGAATTAGCGACATTGCATTTTTCAAAAAGTATTAAGTGACTCCAAGGGTGTCTATAGCCATTCGTTCTTTAATCCTTCTGATTTTAAAGATAATCATGTTTTTGTAACATACTTGTAAGATGGGTTTGTAGAAAAAACTGGGTACCGGTACCTGGTCGAAAAAAACGTTTACCCAAAAAAGGAAAAATACGGTTTGTTTTAATAAACATCGTTGACATGATGCTATGCTACAAAACATGGTAATGAGGGTTGGAGGGTCAATAAAGTGGACTAGTCGCATCATCAGTACTTCTACCTCCTCAGGTTTCGGGGGCTCCGAAGTATACCTGATTGGGGATGGAGGTTGCCCCTGCATGGTTGATCAGACTCCACATGCGATAGTTAATTGAACCTTTTATCTCTATTCTTTTTTTTATTTATTGTTCTTCTAATATTTGGGTTTGTAGAAAAAAACGGGTACCAGGTAGTAAATCCTCCATGCTGGGTTCAAACTTGGTACCCAGTACCTGGTCGAAAAAACTGGGTACCCTAAAAAGCGAAAAATACGAATATATAACATAATTAGATCATTAGAAAATGTGTAAGATTTGTTTTGAATTCACAAAAATGTATGTAACTTCCTTCAACATTGAGCTAGAAGCATTTTAATGCTCTTTTCTTCCTCTATCACCATGGTCATATTTTTTTCATTGGTTATGGGTGGGGGGTGGGATCGCACCATCGAACCCCCTCCTGGCTACGCCTATGACATTGAAAGACGATGACAAATCAATCTTACTCTATATTCAATAATTCGTATGTTGGTACGTGAATTGTTTTGATTATGATAAATAGCTATCGTTACTTTAGCAGAGAGGTGACATGTGTTAATTTACATGATGCAACATGTAAGATTTTGATTATTTATCATAATTTAATTTATATCCCAAGGGTTTGTGTAAAAAACCGGATGACCGGGTAACCGGGTACCTGGTCGACCGGGTACCTCACGTTCCTAGCAGGGTTACCAACTTTCAAAGTTCCACATTTCCCCCCATATATAGTAGCGAATTGACTTGACAGACTTAGCCTACCGAGTGCACTGCTGTTAGACATTTTTACCCTATACGAGACAGAGCACTTTTTAAAATAATCGATCCAGCAAACAGTGACGTCCATGTCACGTTGCTCATAAGTAGCATATAGGTTCGTAGAAGATGTTGCACATTTTCGTTCTTTACACATCGAGGCAACGTTAACATGAGACATCTATTGATGGTATAAAAAGGAAGTTGTTGTAACGTGTTAGTTAGTGTGGAAAACATAACAAACAGGAACGTTTGATTTTTACTACATTGGTCCATATGTGACGTAACTCAAACGTTAAAATTAAGAATTGTCAAAACAGGCTTTTAATATCAAAATATTTGTTGGTGGAAAAAAACCTGACAAAAACTTTATATTCTCACTAAGTCGGTTCACTTCCAACGTATTGTTAACGTTAAAAGTTAACATTGTTGAAACGTTTTTTCGATTTGAAATAACCTCAAAATGTGACCGTATGATCTGACGTTATTTAAATATTCAGCCAAACGTCGATGGATGGTTGAATTTCAACATTGTGGAAATGGCTTCAAAATATTTGTGAGTTAAGGAAACGTTACAAAGATGTCAATATGTTCTCACTAAATCGGTTCATTACCGAAGTTATTTTAACGTTAAAAGTTAACGTTGTCAAAACGTTCTTAAGATGTGAAATAACCTCAAAACGTGACGTCAAAAATAACGTACATGTATCATCTAGATCCAACGTTATAAATAAAAAAAACTCCTAACCCTGCTAGGAACGTTAAGTACCCGGTCACCCAGTTACCCGGTCACCCAGTTTTTTACACAAACCCGTTATCCCAATTTTCGACGAAAAGACCACTGAAGTATAAATTGTTACGTCTTACAGTGTCATAGGCGTAGCCAGGAGGGGGTGCGATGGTGCGATCGCACCCCCCCATAACCAATGATGATAGAGGAAGAAAAAAGCCTTAAAATCCTTTTTATTTGAAGCTTCTAACTCAATTTTGAAGGAAGTTACATACATTTTTGTAAATTCAAAACAAATCTTGCACGTTTTCTAATGTTATATATTCGTATTTTTCGTCTTTTTTGGATACCTGGTTTTTTCGATGGGGTACCGGGTACCAAGTCTGAACCCAGCATGGAGGATTTACTACCTGGTACCCAGTTTTTTCTACAAACCCTGGGCTTTATTGCTCTAGAACAGGGGGTCTTTTGAAGATTGATAAATTTTATCCCGTACCAAGACTATAGTCCTGTACTGAGCGCATACATTTGCCTGTACGATTACAACTTGGGAGAATTATCTACGCCCCTTCCACTTAAGAAACCTACCTCAATGCATTCTAGAACTCAAAATGTAACTTCTAATATATTGGAACCGCCGATTCTCTGGGTTAGTTGGCAGAACGAGGTCTTTTTGTTTCTTATGGCTCTTTTGGTCGAAGTTCGATTAAGATGGCGGTTATAACGGAATTTCCCGAACTTTTCCGTAATAGCACGAACTTGGTATTTTGTTACGTCACTTCCATGTAAAATGGATTTGTTTCCGGTAAGAGGGAATTTCGAAAATTTCGGACAATATTTTCAATATTTACTGCCATGTCGACATCCTATGCTCTTAACTGTATACCGAATGGTTAAACAATGTTTCTTACCGGAAACAAATCCATTTTACACGGAAGTGACGTAACGAAATACCAAGTTCGTGCTATTACGGAAAAGTTCGGGAAATTCCATTATAACCGCCATCTTAATCGAACTTTGACCAAAAGAGCCATAAGAAACAAAAAGACCTCGTTCTGCCAACTAACCCAGACAATCGGCGGTTCCAATATATTAGAAGTTACATTTTGAGTTCTAGAATGCATTGAGGTAGGTTTCTTAAGTGGAAGGGGCGTAGATAATTCTCCCAAGTTGTAATCGTACAGGCAAATGTATGCGCTCAGTACAGGACTATAGTCCTGGTATGGGATAAGATAAATTAACATGGAGCTCAATGTAAATCACTGTGCATAATCTTTGAGGCCTGCTATTATGAAACTGGGGCCACTTTTCAACACCACTTCCTTAGACATCAAAACTATATGTATTAATGGTATTTTGGTCAGAAAATGGTGCTTAATATATAGCAAGTGCAATTTGACAGCTAACTGGTCCCACTAATTGTGCAATATTTCTCTAAAGGCCCTCTAAAGGTACTCTATTGACTAAGTTATTTTTATCAAGAGTACAATATACCTAAGGGAGTTTTATTATTCTGCTGTCTCTCACAGCTGGCTATTACATTACACTGTTCACATACAAGCTCTATTAGCTTTATCACTACATCTAATATATTTACTGTATATTGAAGATTAATTTCAATAACTGATAAGTTCATTACGAGGAATAATAATGGTAATGCAACCTAAAGTGTAATAGACATATATGCCAATATTATGTTATCTATTGGGGATGATTTCTATATAAATAGCCTACATATTTAACTATTTCCAATTTATGTTCTTGGATATTGCCCTCTTATGTCATTGTGTGCTTTTAATAAGTGAGAGTCTGTCCATCCATAGCCTGTGAAAATCTGCAATGTTTCATTGGCCTTGAATGTCTCCATTGAGTCTGCTAGATCATTAAGCACAATAGCTCTGCAGAGTGATGAGCACATTGCTATCATAGGATATGTGCATAGGCAAGCATATAAAAGAGATGGGAAATTTAATATGTGACCATTGGAGATCACCAAAACAATCTAGTAGAGCAGTTAGGAGAAAACATAACACTAGGTATAAAGCTGATGTAAAACTGAAACGAAAATGGAGCTTAAATGGGAGACGTAACTTCAAAAGAGTAAATTATGATGAGTATGGCATTGAAGCAGAAGAACTATTAGAAGCACAACATGCTGGTGATAATTCAAGTGGCAAAAGTGGTATATGGAAACTTATGATGCGAGTTAGAACAAGAGAATTAATTATTAATCAGCCTGATAATCAGAAAGAAAATTCATATAAGGAGCAATATAATGAGCAAGCCTGTCCAGGTGAATATACCAAATCATCCAATGTGCACACATCAAAGCAATCCTTTGAAACCACAGACTTACACTGTGGAGTTGGTAGCCTCAACATGTCTCAAAACACAGCCAGTTGCTCTCACTGTTGTTGTCATTGCCACAAGTTTCACCATCAGGCACCCCATCTTGTGCAGCTGCCTAGGATAATAGTTGAGGCACAGATGGAGACAAGGAAGAAAAGACCTGAGGGGAGGATACAGCTGGGGCAGAGGAGCATATCAGAGGATGATGAGGTCTTTCTAGTAGTTCCTCATATGTCTTCACGAAGCCTGTCACCCTCTTCGGGTGTCAACAATGTAAGTACAGTAAAACCTGTCCGATGGAATACCTCTCTGTAGGGAAAACCTATGAACAAGGAATGCTTTTCAAAAGAACCGAATATTTAACTTACATGTTAACGAACCCTCTCTGTAGGGAAAACCTGTGAACAGGGAACAAGGAACACTATTTTGGGGCAAATTATGAAAATTCACCTGTGAACAAGAAATATGGAATATTGGTGACACTGTATATTCCATTATTTTTCAGAGGTGTGAAAGTCTTAAGCCAATATCTGATTCTAAAAAGCTTGGATTAATATGAATGAGATTAAGATAAGCCAATTGTAGCCAAGATGTAGCATCCCACCTACTGTTAATTACTCTGATATATTTTAAAACTAATACCAATCTGTTTGTTACTTATTATCATGACACTAATTCTTCCTTTCAACAAACCTTTTTACAACAAATCAGTTGTGATAATCTAGGGACTGGCACAATTGTTTTATGGAGATAACAGATAAGTACATGTGTCATGTTGAGCCAAACCTATCAATAATTACATCAACTAGACATCATCAGACCCAGCAGCAGCAGCTTCATACATCTTCCAAGATTTCAAAATAAGGTCTAGCACACAAGTATGGAGTCGGCATTGGTTACGATCAATTAATGCTCATATATATAGTACTATATACGTATGCCAATATAAATATGGTTATTCGGCAAGTTTGAGTTTGCTGAAAGTGCGGCCCCTCTCTATAGGGAAAACCTATGAACAAGGAAACTTTCTTCCAGTCCCAAGAGCATTCCCTGTTCGCAGGTTTTACTGTATAAGGACCTTGAATATTGTGCCAGGTCTTAAAGGTATAATCCTTACAAGACCATTTCTCTCTTGATATGGTAGCTATACTCATTTTTATACTGTCCAATGTCCATATTTAGAAAAACATGGGAAAATATATATTTAAAAATGGAGTACTCATTTTGAATTAGGCTGCCATCTTTTAAAATTTCATATAGGAAGTGATGGCATCAACTATTTACTTTTTATATAAACTTGCCAATAACAGTAAAGTAACACAGAATCATAGAAACAGTCCTTATTTTCCATGCAAAAATATTTTCTGGTCTTCTCAATCATAGACATAACTGAAAAATAAGATTTTTGTGGTTTTGTGCTAAGATACCTTCTTGATAACATCACCATCTTTGTGAAATCTTAAAAGATTGCAGCTCACATGAAATGAGCACAGCAATTTGAAATGATCAATTTTGATGAAGATTCCGATTTTTCACTGACAAAAGTGCCTCTCTGTCAGTTAGTATGTGAAATATAAACGTACAATCAAAAGTTAGTTGTTTTCATATGTTTATATTTAAATTACAGCAAACAATGAGTCATTGCCAAACCAAGAAACAATATATTTCACTCTCAGTTTCACATGTGATCATGTTATAACTTTGTGGGAATAGCGATGCATGTAACCTTTACATTTCCATGTTGCGTGTCTTTTCATGATATTATATTTTGAATGCCGTTTGTCGTTCCCTATGATGAATGATTGGCCTTTAAAATGATAAATGTCGCTTGCACACCTTAGTCATTGTAAGTGCCAGAATACTTTTTATGTCCCCACCACATAGTCAGGGGCCATATTGTCGGCCTAGGCGCGTCCGTCCGTCTGTCTGTCCGTACGTCTGGCAGTTTTCTCCAATACCGCTACAGATATCGCCTTCAAATTTTCAGGGATAACTTATGAGTGCATATAGATGTAGATGAAAAAAAATTAGCTCGATACCTACTTCCTGTCGGCCATTTTGAAGTCAAATGCTAAAATCCTTGTCTGCAAACTTTAAGAAAAATGGCTTCACAGTTGCTTTTAAAACTTTAAAATCTTGTAAAGCTCACTTAATTCTAGATCTGATTAGATTTTGGACCTGTTAGCTCAGTCATGTCAGCCATTTTGAATGTTTTAAGAAAAGTTAGCGCGCGATAATACTTTATATCATATTGAATGGTGTTTTTCAGTTTTCATACTTTAACTATTTAGTAGCTTTATAAATAAATTCAGGTGTACTTTGTTGTAAAAGCCTATGTTATTGTTAACAGTAGTTATGTGTGATAATTTTGTAAAAAGAAATCAGCAAAAACTCATAATCACTTTTTTATTGTCGGCCATTTTGGATTTTTCCATCCTAAAGTCTTGTCTATAAAGTCTTGTCTACGCGGTTTCAGGTGAACCGTTTGTTAGATCAATTTCAAATTTTCAGGGATGGGAAAGTTTAGAGCATTTAGGGATATGAAAATAATGCAATTGTCTTGTGTAATGATGATGAATATTAATGTTGATATCAAACAAGTCTTGAAATTGATTTTTTGGAAGACTGGGGTGCTTATTAAAGATTTTGTACATGAACTGACCAGTACAATATCTGTTGACATCAAAAATATTAAATATTTTAAGATCTTTAAATAGGGGAGTGGAGTGAGAAAGTCTATCCTTATTTAAAGCTAGCCTTAAGAATTGTTTCTGCAGTTTATGTAGACGATCATAAAATGATTTAAATGTGTTACCCCAGATTATGTTGCAATAATTTAATTGAGAGTATCAATGAGTAGTAAATTGTTTTGAAACTGTCTATTTGAAGTAGATGTTTAATGTGATAAAGAGAACCAATGACGCGAGAAATCTTTGTTTCAACAGATTTTATGTGCTCTTTAAATTTCAGGTTTTTATCAATAATAATTCCAAGAAAGTCAATTTTTCCCGGAAATTTATGTTCTCATTGCGTATTTTAAGATTCAGATTTGTCTGATTTTTTTTGGGTCCAAATAGAATAGCATTTGTTTTGCCAATATTAAGTGAAAGTTTGTTTGCTTTTATCCAGTCATCTATTGAATTCAAGTTTGCATTTGTTCTAATCATAAGTTCATTTAAATCATTATCACTATCAAGAAGATTGGTGTCATCAGCAAACATAATAAATTTTAGATTAGGGGCAACAAAAGGCAGATCATTTATGTAAAGAATAAATAATAGTGGATCAAGTACCGAGCCCTGCGGAACACCACAATTTAGAGATGATTGTTTAGATTCATAATTGTTAATGGTGACATATTGTTTGCGGTCTTTTAAATAACTTTCAAACCAGGACTTAGCTATTCCTCTGATGCCATAATATTCAAGTTTTTGTATCAAAATGTCATGATTAATTGTGTCAAAGGCCTTGGAAAAATCTAATGTTATGCCAATGCTCGTTTTCCCCAAAACAGTTGATTTTCGAATTTGTTCAATGAAATATAAAATGGCCATGTAGGTAGAATTGAATTTCTGAAATCCAAATTGATAAGTAAAAATAATTTCAAAACGTTCTAAAAGACCAGTGAGTTTGGCGTGCATTAGCTTTTCTAATAATTTAGAAAATACCGATAAAACTGAAATTGGTCTATTGTTAGAAGGATTTGTAGTGACACCTTTTTTAGATACAGGTGTTGCTTTGGCCAATTTGAGGGCGTCTGGGAAAATACCAGATTTAAAAGATAAGTTAAATATATACAAGAGTGGATCAATTAAAAACTGTCTTGCAGACTTAATAAGTAATGGTAGAATCCCATCAGGTCCAGGCGAGGAAGATTTTGTGGTGTTATATACTTAACACTAGACTAACAGTTTATAAGATTATTAAGGCTTTATTGCTGGATAAAACTTATAACCGCATGGCTTCTACATCCGGGTACTAGACAGCCCAATCTGATGACGTCACACATTAAGGTGGACGATGAGTTAACATTTAAGGTGTACAGAGTGACTAACACTACATCCCCCTTTCGAGATGCTTTACAGAATCTTTACAGAATACATGAAATGATATTGTATCTTTAATAAGGCAATAAAGAAGTGTTCCTTTAAATGTTACACCTTAATACAACTAAATACATTTTGCAATGTCTCTAACATGTCATACAGTTTTACATAGATGTAAAACTGGATAGATTTCAAGACTTGTCTACAGGTTTCCAGCCAAACCATTTGATGGATTCATTTGAAATTTTCAGGGATGTTTCGACATATCAAAGTTAACAACTGATTAGTTTTTGGGCATTCTGGGTAAATTTTAAGGTGGCCATTTTGGATTTTCCGTCCTAAAACTTTCACTTTCAAGACTTGTCTACAGGTTTCCAGCCAAACCATTTGACGGATTCATCTGAAATTTTCAGGGATGTTTCTACGTGTCAAAGTTAAGAAACGATTAGTTTTTGGGCATTCTGGGTAAAATTTAAGGTGGCCATTTTGGATTTTCCGTCCTAAAATCTTCACTCTCAAGACTTGTCTACAGGTTTCCAGCCAAACCATTTGACGGATTCATTTGAGAAAGGACGATTCTCGGTTTGTTTGGAGAACGAAGTTCATCAATCTAAATGAGCATTATCCCTGCTTCGGACAAATTTGATTTTTTTTACATAATATAGATTTGAATGTCTTCTTTTGAATAGTCATAATTTAATTTGGGTAATATTTCTAGATTTTTCGCAAAGAAATATCAGCGCAGTACACTGATGAACTTTTTTCCCCAAATCGAGACTTGTATTTTATTGAATCGGTCTATTTGAGCATTATCCCTGCTTCAGACCAATTTGTTATTTTTACATCTTGTAGATTTAATTGTCCTCTTTTGAATATTCATAGTTTAATTTCGGTAATATTTCTATATTTTTCATGAAAATTTTATTAGCAAAGGAAGCTGTTCTCCAAACCAAGAATCGTCCTTTACAGGGATGTTTCTACATATCAAAGTTAACAACTGATTAGTTTTTTGGCATTCTGGGTTAATTTTAAGGTGGCCATTTTGGATTTTCCGTCCTAAATTCTTCACTGTCACACTGCTGTGTTTTAGGTACGATATTGTTCACGTCTGTGCCTTGTTCAATCTAAATTTGGGTCGTAGAGTGCTAAGACTGGAGTCGATTTTACCTCGCGTTTAATTTCATCAAAAGAACGCTGGTGATTTGCTGTCCATACAAATTCAGTACCTTTACATAAAAGTTCACGAAGCGGCTGACTTAGAACAGCAATTTTCTGTGTAAATTTGCTCAACTGGTTAACCATTCCGAGAAAACGGCGGACACCACTGACATCCTTTGGACAAGGCATATCAGTAATCGCTCTGACTTTGGACGGATCTGCG